GAGATTTACTTCTCCTGGGGTCAATCCAAGTGCCCAAGTACTTGCTTAGTTTGGATGAGAAATGAAAACCCATAAACTTGGAATATTTGACCTTGTTTGAGTAGGAAATATTGGGGTTGAAAATCATGAAAGATTTTGAGCTATTGCACAATTGACCAGACAAGAGCCTATACATGTTAAGTACAAGTTTAGCAGAGTAAAGATTTAGTGAGTTACACTCAAGAAAAAGAAAAGAATCATCAGCATATAGTGAATGAGAGATGTCCTTTGCCCTTTGACAAACCTTAGTGCCTTTCCAATGACCCGAAATTTGAAGCTAATTGATCAAGCAAGATAGAATATTGGCAGAGATAACATAAAGGTAAGGGGATAGTGGATTACCTTGCCTGATACCCTTGTTAGGAGTGATGATTGGGGTGAGCTTTCTATTAAGGTGGATCTGGTAATCAATAGTGATGCTACATTCCATAATAAGAGAAATCCATTTCTGTGGAAAATTCATGACTTTCAAAACAACATGGATAAAGTTCCATGATAGCTTATTGAAAGCTTTGGAGAAGTCAATCTTAATAGCAATAATCTTCCTCTGGCCATTTCGAGCATTGTGAATTTGGGAGAGAATATCTGATGCTAGAAGGATGTTATCTGAAATTAATCTTCCTTTTAGAAAAGCACATTGGTTTGGTGCTATGACAGAGTGTGAGACCATTTTTAAGTCTATTACTCAAAACTTTGGAGACAACCTTGTATATGACATTGTAGAGATTTATGGGTTGGAAGTCCCTAAAACTATAATGTTTGTCAGATTTAGGAATTAAGATAATTTGAGTTTTATTGAAACTTCTCAACATATGCTCTGTGTTCTAGAAGTGAAGCACCATTTTATAAACATCCTCCTTTACAATTTCCTGAAGTGTGGAAGAATTTAGCATTAAAACCATCAGGCTCTAATGCACTATCCTTCGGTAAACCAAAAACTGCATCTTTGACTTCCAGTAAGGTGACAGCTGCATCAAAGAGTCATAATCTGACTCAAATAGAGAGGATATGGGGACTAAAGAAAGATTTTGGATAAGATATTCAAGTGAAAGAGAAGAGGAATCCCAGTATAGGTCTTGGAAAAATTGAAGAGCCTTTTTTCTGAAAGGTCTTGTTCTTCTGAAGTCCAAGTACCATCCTGTTTTTGAAAACTATGAATGTAGTTGGTTGCCGCTCTTTTATTGACCGTGGCATGAAAATACTTTGTATTTCTTTCTCCTTCAACTACCCATTTGAGTTTGGCTCGTTGAGACCAATAACTAGCCTCATAATCATAGAGAAATTCTAAATCATGCTTCGCATTTAAAAAAAAGAAGAGATCAGGGAATTAGATTGATCCAAATTTAGGTCAATAGAGGTAGAAATCTCTTGAAGTAACTTTTCTGCTTGAGATATTCTATAAGAAAGATTTCCAGTACTATATTTGCTCGAAGTTATTAGGGAAGTAAGAGTGTCACTAAGTTTCCCATGAACTTGGAAAGAAGGGGAGCCAACTATCAGTTGGGACCAGCTATCATGAATAATATCAGAGCATTGGGGAAAATTAATCCATAAATTTTCAAATTCCCTTGTCTTTCTCTTCACTATTTGATGATTAGTTAAGAAGAGGAGAGGGCTGTGATCTGAAGCTACCAGGGGAAGGGTAGTCACAAAAGAAGATGAGTAAGTTTGCAGCCATTGTAGATTACAAAAGCCATTTCAAGCTTTTTCATGACATTAGCTTCCAATTTTCTGCTATTAGTCTACGTGAAAGCAAGTCCATTTTGGGTGATATGTATTAAATTTGCTTCGTTTAAACACTGGACAAATTGTTCTATGCAACTTGAAGAGCCTTTGCAATTTGATTTATCTTGCCATGAGAAAATCTAGTTGAAGTCACCAATGAGTAGCCAAGACAAGGTTATGTGTTCACTTGTTAACTTGATTCAGTCCCAAAGCACGTATTTAAGATTAGTAAAGGGACGTCCATAAATAGAGGTAATGTAGTACGATATAGAGTTTTCATTACTAGTGATAAAGTAGTGACAGAAGAAGGGAGATACCTCCAATAGTTCAACATTAATCTTGTCTTTCCATCCTACAAAAGTCCCACCTTCCTTATTTCCTACATCAGTACCAGAGAAACTATTGTAACCTAAAGGAAGAAGACTGTTGCAAGTAGAGTGGAGATTAATCTTAGTTTCTGAGACGTACAAGAAGTTAGGCTAATGTTTACCCACAAGTTGCTTGTAGCGATGAACTGCCGTGGTCTTCCTGAACCCGTGATAATTCCAACTAATGATCCTTATGGCTGCTAGGGAAGCTTTCTATGGGCAGCTTCCCAAGCTCTTTCAGTAGTGTTTGAAGAAGAGGTTAAGGTCTTGAATTTTTTCTTGATTGTCTCAATAGTAAGTGTCACTTCTAGTTGTCTTTTTCGATTAGTGGGTTCATGAAGAAGGAACTCAGTGAGATCTTTCTTGGGGAGAGAGTTGATATCAAGCCTATGAGAATTCTGGTGCGCAGCTTCTTAGGCCTTTTTAATAGTGTTTGAAGAAGCTAAGGTCTTCAATATTTTCTTGACTACTTCAATGGTAAATGTCACTTCTACCTGTCTCTTTCTGCTTGTGGGTTCTTGAACAAAGAACTCAATGAGATCATTCTTGGGAGGAGAGTTAAGATCAAGCATATAGAAGCCATTGCCAAAAATAAATGCAGTAGATTCATTACCTCGATAGTTGATTTCCAACATAATTGGCTCAAAGATGCAATCACCTTGATGTTGCACCTTTATCTTCTTAATTGAATTCAAGCACTCATCTTGGTTCTATTTATTTTTCCATTTTTGCAAAATTGTAATTTGTTGATAAACCTCTTTCCCATCTAAACACTGAGAAAATTCTTTTTGAAACCTCCCATCTTCATCTTTATTAGAGTCCTTATATTCACTCTATTGAGATGACAATTGATTTTGAGCAATTTGTTGATTATCATTTCCTCCACAAGGGATATCATCTTCAAAAATAGGATTAGCTTTCTTATCCTACTGATGCAATTATCACAATTAGAAGAATCAGTATTCCTGAATTGCTTATTTGTCTATGAAGAATAAGGGGAGATGTGAAGAAGCTTTAGAGGATTAAGGTCTTGAACAAAAAAATTATCATTGCAACTCCATATCTTGGTGGACCTCCCTGTATTTTCCCATTGTAAAAGCTGGGCTTAGGCTCTTTAAACAAAGAAGGATGTGATTCATAAACAAGTTTACATCCATATTCCTTGAAATTTTGTTTAACTGTATCTATGCCTTCTCGAACGTGATGAGAATTCAAGTTACAATCATGAACGATGTGCCCAATTTGCCCATAATGCCAGCAAATTCTGAAAATTCTCTTATAATGAGTCTCGACTCAAATGCATTTACCATTGTCTAGCTGAACAAATATTGCTGAAGAAAGCAGAAGAGATAAATCAATGTTGATTTTAATTCTGAAGAAACACATTGCTGACATCATCTATCTGATCATCAAACTCCAAAAATTCTCCAAACAAGTTGCCAAGAACTCTTGCAACTTCCAAATTGAAATACTCTAAAGGAAGACCCCATAATTGAATCCATATAGGAATTTTTTGAAGGCTGAACTCTTGTGGAATTAAGTTAGGTTCCCAATCAACTATATGAAATAATATATTATCCAACACCCAAGGCCCATTATGTAATACAAATCTTAGATCTTCCTTTTTGTCAAAGTAAATAAGATAGCAGTTTTCTTTTTTGCTAACTATATCAACTTTACCTTGCAATTTTCAAACTGCTTTTATCATTGCTTGCATGCACCGAATAGATTTATTTTTTTTATCTATAAGAACACTCAAGATGCAGTTTTTGAGAAAAGCACGCTTTGCTTGTATTGAAGAAGAAACCAATTTAGACCAGAGAGCCATCAGTAAATCACCAAGACAAAACTAGAGTATATAAAAAAACTATATCAACTAGCGAGCCACAAGGCAAAACCAACCCACAGCAACAACACAACCCAAAGAAATAAGAAGCAACACCAAGTAGCAAATAAAAGCAAAGGACCAAAATAGTATGACTAGTTGAGCTATTTTGAATCCTTGATGAAAAATAAAGTCAAAGGAAAACTAAGAGAACTACCAAACACCTTAGATTGAAGAGTCAAAAATCGCATCTGTCCATGAGCTATAAGATGGAGAGAAGTTACAATGGATATTGAGTTTGAAACAAAGCAAGGCCGTGGTTAGAGCTATTACTAAAAGCCAAATAAGGAGAGACAATATCTAAAAGAAGTTAGACTGCTGCAGGATAATTGAATGAAGAAAAGCTCAAAGGCACCACATTCCATCACCTTGATCGGAATCAATTAGGAGCATTACGATGGGAGAAGGGTCCCAAAGTAACTCAATGCACAATCTTGAGAATCCATGCAAGTAGTATTTAGCTACAATGTTGAAATACCTGATAGCAGAAAAATTTTTATGAAGAATTTCAGCAAAAACCAGTCAAGATTGATAACGAGTTGAAGGGCATCCAAGAACCCTAATGCTTGGCTATGACAACGAGTTGAAGGGCATCAAATAACCCTAATGCTTGACTAAGCGAGAGCATCCGGTACCCAATCTTGATCAATATGTGTGTGTTCATCGAGTACTTGTTTTTTCTCAAGCCACATATTATTCACAGTGACTTGTGAACAGTAACATGAGTCTAAAGTCATTGACGAGCCATATTTTGAGGTAGCTTAGTGGGAGAGTTTGTGTGCGCGTATATGTGTGTATATATATCGATGATGATGACTAATGAGTTATATTAAATTAAATTATCCATTAATTCTTATTTTTTGGTTTGGAAATTGTGTGTATTCTCCTAATATTGCCCGGCGACTAGATGCAACCATTGGCCACTGCATCATTGAGCTAAGCTCCTGTTCCCACAAAAAAAAAAAAAAAAGAGAATAAAAGCTCCTGTTGTTCCTTTCGTCGTAATAAAGATACTGGGGACTCAAGATTCCCTCCGCTCTCCGGCTCAGGAACCAGACCGGAGCTTCAACCGTCATTTGAATCTTGGGGCGACAATTTCCATTCCCTTTTTCCATCGAACTCTAACCCAGAAACCGGATGAATGATTTTTGAGATTCTAGGGTTTTTGATTCGGTGGAGAAGACGATGACTGACGCCAACGGCAACAGTAGCAGCAGTAACAACCACCACCACCACCAAGAAGATCTCGGCCTGTACTTCCTGGATTTGTCTCGCCAGGGCTTATCTCAAGGTCCCTGCGACATGGACGAGGACGAGGAGGCGCCGACGGAGCTCAACACCATTAACAGCTCTGGAGGCTTTCTTGTAGTGTCCCCTGATAAGCTCTCTATTAAATACACCAGTGTTGACCTTCATGGCCACGACGTTGGTGTGATTCAAGCTAACAAGCCTGCTCCTAAGAAGCGCCTCGTCTACTATTTTGAAATCTATGTGAAGGATGCTGGAACTAAGGGTCACGTGGCAATTGGGTTTACCAGTAAGGGCTTCAAGATGCGAAGGCAACCCGGGTAAGGGCTTTGTTTTGTCTTGTGATGTTTCGTTTTGGCTATTTGGTGGCGTTAGAAAATGGGCTCGAGGAAATAGGTTAATGAATTGTCTTACTGGAAAGAAGGACATGGTGGTTTTCTTTTAGGCAGTTCGGCGATTTATGCTCTTCTTTCCTAGGAAAACTTATTAAGACCCAGTAGTAAATCATGTTGCTTTTGGTTCGTCGAGTTGTGGTCTTTGGATTTTTTTTTTTGTTTTTTGTTTTTTTGAGGAAACGGAGCAGTTTTCGCGAGAACAGGACTGAAGAATTGGGTATAGCAGAGACAGTGACTGTAAAATCTCAAATCTTATTTCTTACCATCATCCTGGGACATTTTCCTGGCACGGATACCTTTGCCTATTTGAATAGATCTTTATGCGGTAAAATCATGTCTCTTGAAGTAACAAAGTGCTTTTGCAGAGGAACCTCATTATATTTCTTTCGAGTAGGTACGTGTGCAAGATAAATATTTGATCTATTTTCTGTACAACCTGAAGGATGAAGCATGAATGTAATACTTCTTGCATATAACTTTAAGGTCCTGGTTGGCAGGAAGTATTGAAAATGAGGGATATGGACTAGAATTACAATTGAAAAAAATTATTAAAAAAAGTCTTTAGCATGAGTAATTGCTTATTACACAGGATTAGGCAAAACCATGGAAATAGGATTGGGGAATACTACCTCTCATGGTATTTCTCAATATCACATATATAGGTTTACCTAATCCCATATAATAAGCAATCTCTTATGCCAAACACTATTTTCTCAATTTCAATGCCAATCCTTATCCTTCATTTTCAATGCTTCGTATCAAACGGTATCTAAGGCTTCGAAGCATGACATTTGAAGTTTCAATTATTTGCTGACCCTTTCATTATATTATACTCTTTAGCATTCGGTGTGACTTAGGATACCGTATTCAAATTAATGGAGTCCTAAATAGGGAGTTTAATCTTATCCTGTGCTTAGCTACCAATATTTAGAGTCTTTCTTTTGAGCAAAATCAGATCAGTAGACACTGAATGCACGTGGACAGTCAGCTAGTTCTTCAGATCTTGATGCATCCTAGCATGAAATTCTTGAATGACGAAATCCTTGGATTGATTGTTAACTGAAACATGTTGCTCAATAACTTCATGAGTGTTCTCTTCGGCCTTCTTTATCCTTTTTTTTTTTTTGGCCGATATTCCTCTACTCCTTTGCAAAGGACTCACATTGCATGATCAACCCTCTTCACCGGCACATCTAATAGCCTTCTTTGAACTTGTCCAAATCACCTCAAACGATTTTTTACTATTTTCTTTTTAATAAAAGCCACTCCAACTCTTCCGCATATGTGTTCATTGCAATTCTTTTTTTTTTTTTGGTATAATCACATATTTACCTCAGCATTCTTATCTCGACTATTTCCATTTTATGCTCATGTTGTTTCTTTAAAGCTTAACGTTTACTACCATAAAGCATTGTAGTCGTGTTACAATGCATGCTATTTTTTTTTCCCAGGCCAACATAATAATATTGCATTGATTGCAGCTTAAAACTAGAGAATTTGGCTGAAAAGTTATATGGAAAAGAAGAGGCAAGAAATGCATATTGCATTTTATGGATTATTTCAAATGATGAAAATTTAAAACAGTTGAGCACATCATATTATTAATTAATAAAATAATTGATGATTAATTTTAATTATTTCAATAATCGATTAAGGGTTAATATAATTTTTGGTTTCTTAAGTTTGTCTTCATTTTAGTTTTGGTCCCTCAATTTTCAAACCATATGTTATGGTTTTTTAAGTGTTTTTCCAGTTAAAACATTGATCCTTATAATAATTTAATAAAAATCTGGACCATTTTACTCCTTGAGGGACCAAAACCTATGATTTGAGATTTGAAGGGCCAAAATCAAAATGAAGGCAAACTTAAGGGACCAAAAATTATATTGACCTATTAATTAATTAATTCTAAATATCATGGTTTTTTCCTAGGAATCTTAAGCTGTGACTGAATGGGTAGGCCTTTAGGATTTAGTTGTTACATATCTAGCCAGCTTTATGACAAATGTGTGTTTGTGATTTGGGAAAAGTTGTCTTCATCGGGCTTTTCTTTATTCTATTTCTTATTTGTTTGGAACCATGATGTAAATCCATTCTATATTGCTCGTATGCCGGTGAAGAGGGATATTTTGGGTTCAAAAACTGGCATGAAAAAGTAAATTAAAGTTGCTAAATCCGTTATTTGCTGCATTTTATTTTATTCATATGTTTACATCTAAATGTGATTTCTATTTTATCTTGTTCCTCGTTTGATGGTAGGTGGGAGCCTAATAGTTATGGATATCATGGGGATGATGGATTACTTTATCGTGGACCAGGGAAGGGTGAAACCTTTGGCCCAACATTTACGTCGGGTGATATAGTTGGTGGCGGAATTAACTATTCCACACAAGAATTCTTTTTCACGTAAGATGTCCTCTATGACTCTGTCCAATGCTTTCATTTTCTAGGAATGAATTATTTGTTATATGTTCTTTTTGATTTTGTTGTCAACGTCTCAATGATATTTGAAGAAATCAGCTTAGCAATTAAAGTCTTAGCTTCATTTTTTGTTCAGAATAGTCAATACCTTTAGGAAAATAATTAGGGTTTTTCTAGCAATAGAATAAAATATAGAATCTAGAAAAAGATAAAACCATATCTAATCAAATCTGATTTATTTTTTTGACTAAGTAAAAGAAAAAAATAATATTCCATGAATCAACTAATTAGTAAGTCCATCTAAATTGGCTTGGGCTTAGGTCTTTGTCTTCCAACACTACCTATCATGCTGGAGAATAACTGTTCATCATTCCTAGCTTGCCTGTGAAGTTTTCAGACGTTGCAATTAATAAAGCTTTGATTAGCACTTTTGCAACTTGTTGACTAGGTGGAGCGTGTACGGAACCAATTATTTTGTCTTCTATTTTTCTCTCTTGGTGATCTATCTCTACATGCATCACCCTATCATGATCCACAGGATTCTTCACAATCTTGATAGCGATTGTAGTGTCATCAAAATCATCATGGGCTGCTCTAAACTCCTTAACTGGTTTTTCAAGCCACATGTCCTCACATATTTATTGAGCTATCCTCTTAGTTTAGCTTCTACACTGCTCGAAACAACATATTGCTTTTTGCTCCTCTGTGTAACCAAGTTTCCCGCACAAAGGAGCACTAACTAGTAGTGGATCTCTTATCCATTGCTGAACTGGACCAATCAGCATCTGAATAGACTTTTATTCCTCTATAACTTGCTTTCCTAAAAAATAGCCCTTTTCTTGGTGTAGCTTTTAGATAATGTCCTATAAACTGTAGTCATATGATCCTTATCGGGATTGATTCATAATTGATTTACCACATCATTGGATAAGAGGTATCTAGCCTTCTGTAGGCTAAATAAGTTAGCTTGCGAACTAAAACGTGATATCTTTCTCTGTTGACAAGAGGACAATCTTCTCTTGCACCTAGCTTGAGATTCATTTCCATAGGTGTGGCTGCTAGCCGACATTGCATCATACTAGTTTCTTTCAACAAATCAAGAGTGTGCTTCCTCTTGGATACAACTATGCCTTGCTTAGACTTTGAAACTTCCATACCTGCGAAATATCTTAATTATCCTAGGTTTTTCATCTCAAATTCTGCAGCTAATAACTTCTTTTAAGCTTTCCAGGTGGTCAATATCATCACCTGTAATAATGATGTCATCAACATAACCCTTCTTGACTACATTTGCAAACCTTTCAAACCAAGCACATGGGCTTCTTTGAGACTACACAAAGATTTTTGTAGTTTGCAAACTCTATTTTTATTTTCTCTGTTTTTGAATCTTGGAGGAACATCCATATAGATCTCTTCCTCTAAATCACTGTTGAGGAGGGCATTTTGCACATGAAGTTAATGCAATGACCAATCAAAGTTAGCTGCTAGTGAAAGATGCGCCTTAATGCTGTTGAGCTTCGCTACCGAAGCAAAAATCTCTGATAGTTAATTCCATATTGTTGAATAAATCCCTTAACAACCAACTTTGCCTTATATATGTTTGTTGAACCCTCAGGTTTTTATTTCTTTGTTAATACCCAATTACACCTTACAGTGGATACAGTATTCAGGAAGCTTAGTTAACTCCCAAATACCATACTTGACTTCAAGGCTGTCACTTCAAGGCTGTCATTTCTGCATTACTAGCATTTCTCCATTTAGGAATCTCTGTAGCTTCATGTACATTTGTGGGGATTTCATCATCTGAAATTCTATTTGTGAATGCCCTCGAAGCAAGGGATAATTTTTCGTAAGATACAAAATGAGCAATTACGTACTTGGTAGTACGAGATCTTACCCCTTTTAAGGCTAGAGGTCAACCTAGGTTATCTTGTGAGGGATTTGATGTTGAGTTGGATGATCGGCGTGATGTACTTGAGTTTTCAATGCTTGGCTGCTGTTCTGGTATTGTAATAGCAAGGCAGATCATGAGAATTATTATGGATAAAAAAACCAACAATTGTTTATCTTTATTGGACTGCAGCAATTGCTTTATATTTGTCTAATAAGCTGTAAAATCACTGACTGCAGTCCACTTTAAATATTTGTTCTGTTAAGCTTGTTTACAGTATTGGGTGCTTGCCGAAACATAAAGATATTTATAATTAATTTTTGTTTTCCTAACTGTTTTGATGACAGTAAAAATGGGCAAGTTGTAGGGACAGTTTACAAGGACTTGAAGGGTCCTCTTTTTCCAACCCTTGCTGTCCATAGCCAAAATGAAGAGTATGTTGTTGTACTGCTTCCTCTTAGTATTAAGTATATCTGTGCATTTATTTATTTATTAATTAACTTGCATATTCTTTTTTATATTTTTCTAATAGTTTCTGAGTGGAGTAGATACCTGTGATAGTGGATAATTGTGTTACCATCTTCCATATATCGAGACTTGAGATTGTTCAATTGATTACAGTTTAAATACTTAGTTGGAGAGGTTACTTCCTATGTATGCATTAAGCTCTAGTTAATACTTCTGTTTAATTATTCTTTTGGTTGTTCTGGTCCCTCCTTTGCTGAATTTTGGGATCTTTACTATTAGGAAATCATTGATAGGAGAAAGATGATATATTCATATGAAAATTTTATATGGCATGTTCTGTAGTTGTGAAATAAAGATTAAGTTTTCTGAGGGACACTGTGCCCCTTGCCAACATCTGCTGGTGCTACTTTCATTTACTTGTTTTTTTTTCCTTTTGAAACATTGATTTGTCTCATATGTATGTATTTCTGGAACCTTGGATTACTGCCACTCTGCTTTTCTGATATTGAGCATCTTACAGCATCGTTTTGCATATTTGAAAATTGGTTGGGATGTTTCATTTTTTTTTAAAAGCGTGTGATGTCTATATATGACAGGGTGCATGTGAACTTTGGGCAGAAACCATTTGCTTTTGATTTGAAGGTGAGAAGCATTGTCAATTCCATTTTTCTTATTTATTTTTGTTGTGTTTAACTGGGTATATCTTACCTTGCGATAAGTCTTTTTTAGCCTTTTCTTTTTATTTTATGATGCCAATAACATCTGCAAACTTTACTCTCGTGTAATTTTCTTGCAGCTTTTTCACTTTTACGAAATAAGAAAATGGATATTTCAATTGTCCCTCTTTAATTACAAACTTATGATTGTGTCAGAAGTTAATTTTGTTGGAAATCAATCAGAAGTCTCTGCCAGCACTGTTCTAAGCTGCTTTCCTAACATACTTTGATTTTTCTTGTTTAATATCCTTAATTGCTAATAATTTGGTGTTAGTGTAAATATTTAATAAAGATGAAACTACTATACAAGCCGTGCATTCCAATTTGTCCCTGCGTAGATTGTTAGATGAGCTGGCTGACTAATATGTACAAAGGCCCTCTAAGAGAGAGTAACTTTGCCATATCACTAATTATCTCCGCAAAGCCCATTTTGTCACGGGAATTGTTTTTTTCCCCCAAGGAAATCGTAGAGTTTAACTTGAAGTTATTTGATTTTTTCTAAATTTTATTCGTGTATTTGCTTATATGCCTAAATATTTCTATTATTGGATAAGGAATTTGAAGCTCAAGAGAGGATGAAGCAACAACTGAAAATCGAGGAAATAGCTCTGCTACCAAACGTTAGTTATGGGTGAGATACGTTACTTTTTATTCATAGAGATAGTATAGTCTAAATTGCTCTCTTCTTTATGAAGAGATGGCTTGATTTCACGGCGCAGCCTTCTATTATTAAAATCTACATTGCCCTTCTGTTAAAAAGAAAAGAAAAGAGAAGAAACGAAAAGAAGAAAAGGAAAACAGACCTATAGCTAAATTCATCTTGCCCTTCTCTGAATTTTAAAAAATTATTTCTTAAATTTGATGGTTTCTTGGTTACAATGGGTTTATCTGTAAGCTGTCCTGTGGTCTCAAAGGGGGTATTTTAGACTTTCATAATAAAGGGGAAGGTCATTCAATTGGTGGTCTCTCTGGTGCGGTGGTGCGAGGGAGTTATTTACCCTTAAAATTGCTCTTTCTGTTTTTGGTAGAATAAATATATCTTCTCTTTTCAATTATTTTTTATTGGGTTAGTAACGACAATGCCAATTTTCTTGCTACAAATGACCTGAACTAGCTCCCTGTTGTATGATTTTCTCCATAGGCTTTCTAAAAAGGGAAAAAACTGGCACTTTCTTGCTAATCTATATATGGCACACATGGCCAATTGGAAATTTGGGCACCACAGCAATCTTGCTATATCAGATTTTAACGTTTTGATGATATTACACGTATACTCGGTGTGCAGTAAAAAAATGAAGGTTGGAAGCTTTGTTAATGCCGGTCAAATGAAAATCTATATGTTTGGTTATGAACTTGTCTCAACTTGTTGTGGAGATGAAAAAACTGCTTGAGTTTTAAGAAAAGTGCTTCGGTTACTTTACAAATGTTATTGAACTAGATATACAGTTGTTTTAAATGGCTCCATAATTTTCTTTTTTGGTCGTGGACAGGAAGGAAAAACTGGTGCTATTCCTTTGAGCCCTTTAATTCGTTCTTCCACAAAAGTTTCCCTTGCTCACTTAATTTACTTAACCCTTTAATTCCTAGAAATTGAAATATCACTATAAGATCTATAGCAAGTCAAGCTATGTACAATCCATGAACATTGTGGCTTATTTCTAAAAATTGGGGCATTACATGGGACCCACCATCTAGTTTTAGTTTAAAACCCTAATATATTTGATTGATGACACAATTGGACTGTGATTATATATAAAGGTGTATTTATAAACACACACACACACACACACACGAACACATATTTCTAGAATTTTCCCTTGCTCTAATAATTTTGGGTTAAACTAGAGATTATTATTATTATTTTTTTATTTTTTATTTTTTTGTGATTATATATATCTTTCATAGGAAGAAATTGGTTAACCACCCCAAATTATAGGATTTTGTGAGAGGGAATATGGCATGACTCATTTATAACGAATGAGGTGTGGTAGAATCCTTAATTTTTCATTCTGTCACTCCTTACAAGACTTCAGAGAATATATTATGTGGAAGCCTTGGTCGTTGGCTAGAAAAAACTTATTTTTATGATGCAAACATGGCGCTTTGTTCTTTTATAAAGGCTGAAATTACCGATCATTCGTTGGCTATTTCATTACTGATATTTTGGGAATTGATACTACCTAGTATGTGATGAATACATCCATATATCTCTGGATTTCTGAGGTACTCCTTTTTCATCAGAATTGTTCGTTCCTACCTTCTACACTATGGCTATGAAGATACACTCAATTCATTTGATGTGGCTGGTAGAAGTACTGTTCCCCCTGTAAACATAGCGCGAGAAAATGGAGTTGATGGCCAAGATATAACATATGCTTTAAGTCACCGAAAGACTCTACGACAGGTATGCTGATATTGTGCACATTTTGTTGCATGTTTGGCTGGATAAACGAGATTATAGTCTGACTTCTGTTGAAGTATTTTGGCAATGAAGAGAAAGAACACGGTCCCTGCTGAATGCAATCAAGTTCCAATAGTATTTTGTATTAAAACTTGAGTCTTGCACATATGTATATTGATTGATCCATGTTCGTTCACCCAACGCCTAACTAGGATGCATACAGCAGAGAGAATAATGACGATGCGTGGGGGGGGAGGGGGGGACCGTTGAGAGTAGTTATGAGGTTTCACAAGATGACGTGACCCATGCTTAACAAACTAGTCGCATGGTGCATGGGACTCGGGTATATATGGGCTGCTTGTGGTTCATAGAGGAGTAAAGGAAGAATTTGATGGGCCTGGAGCTACAAGGAGTGTTAGAGGGCTTACTTTGAGGAGCATGAAGAGAGGAGTATGTATGAAGGCCTAAGATTGTATTACATGCTGATTAGAGGGCTAGAGAGATCCAAAAAGGGAAAAACTCTGATTTTAATTAATTATGCAGTGATGCAGGAGGCGCAGAAGAGCGTAGGTCGTTTGAAGGGAATAGGTAGGAAGATTTTGAGTCAAGGGCAGGGGAAGGAAGAATTCTGTGTGGCTTGGGAGAGACGCTAAGGGTTGGTTCTGTTATTTCTTTTTATTTCTGTATTTTCTTATCAGTGACTATCTAGATAGCTATTTCCATGAAAGTGATCTATCAAAGTCACTGTGGATCTGCTATACTGCCATGAGGATTTAATTAGTGTGAGCTCCAATTTATTATATGTGATTTAATAATTATGAGTGACAATGCGCATGATAAGGGAGTTGCATGCACAAGGAACACTTGGAAGACAGATGGATGCATTTATTAAAATTTTCGAGCAAGCTGGAAGCAATCTTAGAGCCTGTTTGGTTCAACCCCATTGCAGGCATGCAATGGAAATGAAGATTGCATTGCCGAAAAAACATGTTTGGTTACTCTTTAATTTGGTAATGGAATTTACCATGGTAATGATTATTACCAAAAATATGGTAGTATCCATTCATACCTCCTCCCCCTCGTGAATCCCCATTGCCACACATTGCGTGTTTTAAAACATTTCTGTTTGTTCTCACCTTGTCCTGTCTTCCTACATTATTGACCACCACCTCCATCCAGCCCTTCTCTTTTTCCTCCGTCCCTTCATCATCATCATCTCCTCCTTTGCCCTCCTCATTCCATTAGTATTGTTATCTCCATCCTTTGCCTTCAATATTTGAAGTTGTGAATCTCTTTCTCAAGTCTTTTTCTACGAATGTCTTCTCTAGATCTATTTTCTGCAGATGTTCAGATCTGTATCTGTGGTGACAAGCTTCAGGTTTTTGCGTTTCTGTAGTTTATATCTACATGGAAGATTAGTTTTTCCTATATACAATTTGAACCCACATTTAAAACTTGATTTATGGATTGTTGCTCCGGATTTGTTGATTCTTGTCTGCATTTGCCATTGACAGTAGTGTTTTGGCTGAGGAAGAAGACGACTGAGGATGGAGAGCCTTTTTTTTAATTTAGGGGCATTTGGGACCTTTTATGATTCTGACTAAATATAACAAATAATTTCTACGCATCTTGTTAATAACAAACCAAACATATTGATGGTTACCGTTATTGTATTGCACTCCATTGCATTACTAAGGGAGTCTGCAATTGAACCAAATGTGCCCTTAGTGTTCTGTCTTTAATTTGTGGCAAATATCACAATATCTGAATAATGCTCTTTATTTGAAATCTGTTATCGTCTTTTTTTCCTTCCTTTGTTTTTTCTTTTTTTCCCAATAAAAGTTTTGTATCTCTGTCAGAATTTTAAGGGAGTCAGGGCTTTACATTATCTCACAAGTTAATAATGAAGAATGTAAAAAGTATATTAGTGTTGATATTTGTAGTTATTTGCAAATTAGTGTAAGGGGGTGTTTGGTTTACCCAAAAAGCACCTTTAAAAAGTTCTTTTACGCAAGTTGAGACAAAACTCCTATTTAACTTTGTATACCGTAAAACCACCTTTAAAACCATGGTTTGGTTTTCACCCAAACACCTCCTAAACCATTAGTAATGACAAGGATGAGAAATGAAGAAGTCTATGAAATTGCTTTTATTTTATTTTAATTGCTTTTAGACTACTCTATTCTAGGCTTTAAGCACCCTTTTGTTATTTATATATTTATATTTTTATTTCTCACTAGAAGTTTTTTCTTGTGCTGTATACGTATGTTTTGTTTCTACTAGGGCTAGTTAAGGTTTTCAATTGGTTATTAAGATTCTGATTCTCGTTCAAGCCTCTGCCTCCACACTTTATTTCTCTTCTATCATCTACCTCATTTTCCGTCATCTCTCTCTGTTACTTCACTATTTGTCATACATTAGTTAATGTTTAAGAGAGGCTGTGATATGGAAGAATAGTGTTTCAATCTGTTATACTGATTATCGAAGTGTTTAATCAGGTTTGGAAATTGGGGATAAATTGTCAGTTTCTTTCAAGCTCTTGCATCCTTATCAATTGTTCCTGTAGCATTTCCCCTAATTTTGTTATTGCTGTTATATCATGGCTTTACTGATTTACAATTGTAATTAGTCTGATGTCTTTTCTCTTTTAATGAAGCTAATCAGAAATGGCGAGATTGATGCTGCCTTTAGTAAGTTGCGTGAATGGTATCCACAGATTGTTGAGGTGGGTTGTCTTGGACCATACAGTTGCTTTCAGAAGTATCTATTTATATTCTGCTTCTAATCTAATCCTTCAAATTTATTAAATGAAGTGCTATCAAGTCAGTCTGTTCTGGGGTATATGTGATTTATAGTTGAAACTTAATGTTGTGATGTACGTGATTTGTTGAATAAATAATGGTGTTCTGTTTACGATTTGCACCATAAGTCGGTGGAAGTAATAATATGCTTCATTTGCATTGTTTGTCGCTTGTTCTGTGCTTATGTTGTTTAAGGACTCTTCAACTTAGTGGGAAGTCTGCTTTCATCTTATTGATGAAAGAACTCATGGTTAGATGGAAATTGACTTCTTTACTTTCCTAATAAGACAGGAAAAATATGCTAGGCAAAGTAGGAAGTAGCTACACATTTTGAGAGTACTTGTGTTCATAGTGTAAGATATGACAAAAATGGAGGAGTTCAGATTAGTTGATGCCCTGAAGCTGTAATTCTCTGATAAAATCGGTCTCTATAATTTAAAGGGAAAGCATAATTGAAAATTCTAAGGCATTGTTAACTGCTACATTTTGGAATCTAGATCGTATGGTGTTGGTCTTTCCTTTTATGAGAATGAAGCCTCTCATGCTTCTTTAATTTTACCAAGCAACTGCTGATCAACACTCCTTCACAAGTTGGGAGGTAAAGAACCAACGAAGCTCAGCTTCAAGCTTAATACTTCAAAATTGTTCTTTGTAATGCTTTGGTTAATAAACAACCATACTAGCATAGTTCTTTGAAATTGTTCTCTGACTAAACTAGTCATTCAACATCTGCATTGCTGAACAAGTCTCAACAGCCTTTTGTTGTTCCCTTTGAAAGAAGAGCCTCCCTCTCCCCACCCCTTTCTTTTTTTCATTTTTCATTTTTCACTTTTCACATTAAGAAGGTTTGGACTCTTGACCTATATTTATGCTTCGCCCCTCTTACAATCTTATGCTCCACTCTTACCAGTCTCATTTGACGGTTTTTTACTGTTTAGCCAAAGTTCCAGCAAATGTTCTTAGTGTAACCAATGTTTTGACAGTGATCACGCCAAGGTTTTCTTGATTTATTTGATTAGTGTCAAATGTTGGTGTATGTCTAGGAACCAAGGTGAAGGATTCTCTCTCTCTGTCCCCCCCCCCCCTTTTGGTCTAGATTTTGGGCTATTAGTGATTGCTTTCTACTCTCGTCAATCCTCCCTCTTCAGCAAACACTTCTCTTGGAGATTGTAATGGTTATATGGCTGTGATATTTTCCCTTACCCCTAAAACGTAGGATTAATTTTTAGGAGGAAATTATAAATTCTCAACAATTTTCTTATAATACTTTATGCAACATCAATGGTCAGTTTTGTACATATATAATTGATGGCTGCATATTCAAAGATAATTATAGTATTGTCTATTGGGTAACATTCACCTTTAAAGACTGTCAATGGTACTCCTTCAATTTTTCTTTTTCTAAAAGAGCTTTTATGTTTCTACTAAGGAGTAATGAAGAATACGATGCCCAAATAGCTTGCTTTATTTTGTAGGCTAAAATCCTAGGAGGTTGGTTGGCACCGGGATCTGCCTGATTACATAATAATTGAGGAAATGAAAAAAGTCAACAGAATTAAAAAAAATCATATTTGCCGTCATATATGGAGTCTAGTGCAGCTACTGAAAACCTAATTAAACCCTAGACTATCATAACAGCCTTGGCCGAAGGCCCATATGGGCATCAATACTGCCCCTCAAGCTGATGAATAGACGTCTATTATTCCCAGCTTACTTCTAAGCTCTTCAAGTTGTGGTCTTGCCAATGCTTTGGTGAAGAAGTCTGCCGCTTGGCAATATGAGGGAACGAGCTAGATTAATGATTATGGCATCCATCTTTTTTTTTTTGATAAAATGCTTGTCTATGCCAACATGCCTAGTCCATTTGTGGTGAATAGGATTTCTCACCATTCCAATAGCTGACATACTGTCACACGTTAGCTTGATAGGTGAATTTACTCAATTTAGTGCAAGTTTTAATTCTTTTACCCTAAGAATTCACAAACCTTCACATGCGTCGTGAGGGTTGTGTCTAATTCTCTTTTTTCCCCCCCCCCCCCTCAAATGAGGTCTGTTATTCTCAGCTCTGGATACAGTGGTGCCAATGTGTTATTTTGGGAGGGTTGCTTTGATATATCTAATTGAAGCATCACTCGTTAATTATTATCATCTCTTAAGTGATCACTGTTAATTTTGGTTTTTGCAGGATGATGCATCAGCTACATGCTTTCTTCTTCATTGTCAAAAATTTATTGAATTAGTTCGGGTATATTCCTTTCTATATTTAGTTTGATATATGTAAAATTCTATGCTTGGAAATCTTAGTTTTCAAATGGAAAGTTTTTGGCCCTCATTTAATGAGATGTAGGCTGGTATTTTTCATGGCTGATGCTAAATGCTTAACGGTATATATTCATATGCTCCCTTCTTTCAACATATAGATGTGGGCCTTGTATAGAGTCTATAAATTGAGTCACGCTATTTATTTTTGCCATTTGAATAATGTGGCTTTTTACAGATTTTATTTATATATATCAACTTATCTTACTGAAAATCAAGCGCGAAGTGCCAACACACCTTTATAAAGTTTGTTATTAACTTGAATGTCTTTTTGTTCTCTTAGCTTTTCTTTTGGGGTCAAACTTCTGAATAGGTAACATTTTGCATTTCTGTTTGTAACATAATAGGTTGGAGCGCTGGAGGAGGCGGTCAAGTATGGAAGAATAGAATTGGCAAGATTTTTTGGGTTGCCTACTTTTGTGGATTTAGTTCAGGTGAATTTCCTCATTAGAAACTGCTGCACTGGTAGCTCCTATGTCTATAAATTTCTGAGGGCCTCGTTACGTTTTCACTATTAATATATTTTAAGTTTTGACAGTTGCTGTTTGACTTCTAATTTTAATTCGTCCTTTTGTGAAGCACGTCTTGTATGCTATTATAGGTTTTGTGTATATAGTAGGCAATTTAGGTTTCTCATTGGGTTCTCTTTGGTTTAGGATTGTGTTGCATTGCTGGCATACGAACAACCACAGGAATCCTCTGTAGGTTATCTCCTTCGGGACTCGCAGCGGGAAGTTGTTGCTGATACAGTAAATGCAATGATCCTGTCCACAAATCCCAATGTGAAAGATTCAAAGAATTGCTTGCGCTCATATCTTGAAAAGTTGCTCAGACAGCTCACTGCTTGTTGCTTAGAGAGAAGGTCTTTGAACGGCGATCAAGGAGAAGCTTTTCAACTGCAGAGAGTGCTTAGCAGTGGTAAAAATTGCTAGTGCTGGCTAGTGTCACTGTTGCCCTTCTCACTCTTGACACAATCCTGGCCTATTATCATGATCACAGTTCTAAAGAGGATGCAAGGTCATCATCAAATTCAAATTTATGCGAGTCTCTTGCAATGTTTTCCTTCCTCATCCCTATCTATAATTGCATATACTCCATTACTTCTGAAAGTGGGGTCCTTTGTGCATTCAAGCTTGTAATTGATAGAAATAATAAATTGAACGAGTAATGATTTCATTGTATGTAGGAAGCTCAAAAATCTATTTAGCAAAATGGAAGTTTCGTCTATGCGAGTGCCTGAGTTGCAACAATCATGGAATGAGTTGCGAAAGAAAAGAGACCACTTCTCGTCTCAATTCCAGCTAGAATTGAAAAAACGGGCTGAATCTTGAGTTGACCCGCTTAAGTTAGAGTCGGGCTTTTATATTAGAGTCTTAAAAGAGAAGTTGGACTGAAAAAGGTAACATTTGATACATGGCGTGCGTCTAATTTTACTCACCCTTAGTAGATCACACAGACAACATTCAAAAGAAAGAGAGAAAATTTGCAATAATTGTTGGAAAAATGACAAAAAAAGGTGGAAGTTAACAAAATTTAAAATTAGGCAAGAATGTTTGTTATTTGTAAGTTGTCAAAATCTGTTAAAATATTGTGTATAATTTTTATTGTCTTTATTTGTCACTCTTATTTTTTTTTATGCTTGAAATAGAATTAATTAAAAAATTTTTTGAATTAAAATAGAGATATATATCATTTTTGTAATTAGAAACAAATTTGGAACTATAGACGATGATTTTTCTTTCTTACCAGCAAAACGTATGATTATTCCTTATGTATATTATATTTGTTGGTTAAATTTTTTTGTTAATTATATATAAACTTTAATTGAAATTAAAGTGTTTGTTACCCAAATCACTTACATATTCGATATTTCATTTTTATATATTAAATTATTAATGAACCGTTAAATTTAAATTTTGACTTAAATATCTCTCCTTAAACATTATTTAACCATTTATATGTCAAAAACTGTTTTTCTTATGCAAACAAAAAATAATTTTAATACACATTTCTTAATACAAATAATTACATTTATGCACACAAAGGTGTTAATACCGGGCAAAAGTCTAAGATTTCATCCAAAGCAGAGCAAGTGACATTATTGCCGAGACGACTAATCATCACTAGTTTAAATAGGGTAAGAGTGCAAAAATGCCCATTCTTATTTTTAAAAAGTGGGGCTAGCACTATAAACAAACTTTGAGTATAAAAATACATATAAATTTTTTAAAATAGAGTAAAAATGTCATTTTCACAACGTTTGTTACTTTTTAAATCATGTCTTTTTCAAAAAGTGCTGCTTATAACACCTCATTTAATTTTAATCCTAACTGCTCATTATCTGTCATTTAAAAATAATGCTTCTAAATTCAATTTTGTTAAATTATTTTAATCATTTTTTTTGTCAAATATCTTTTCTCTCTCTGTCTCCCCTCCCTTTAACAAAACCCTTTCTTCTTCCTCTCTTTATCCATGAAGCTTCACCCTCCTTAGATTTGGGGCCGATTGAAGATGACTACGATAGGGATTGTGCAAGAAACCCATTCCTCCTCTTTGCTTTTCATCATCATTCTCCTTCGAACAATAATGTAAAACAGCAATGGTGATGACAATTTTGGCGCTTTTATTCTTCTAAATTTGAGCTCATAGGTGAATGTGATGAAGAAGAGGGTGGTGGTGGTAATGGAAACTCATCAAGAGAGGCGAAGAAGATCTAGAGAAAAAAAGGAAGAGAAATTCCTTTTTGAAAAAGGTTAAAAATAATCGTTTCTGATGTAATTATAGAGAAAAGACATAAGGAGACATGTAGCATAGCAATAATATGATATAGACACTTGTGATGTTTGATTATGGTGCCATCAGAACTTTTTGAAAAAAATTTATGAGTAGTTTTGTTCAATATGTATGTTAAAAGTAACAATCATTTATAGCTATGAACTTTTACTAAATGTGTAGCTGACATCATAAACAAAATTTGGATGTAAAAATACATATAAGTTGCAAACATACAATGACCGTTAATTATTATAACATTGACCTTTTTTTGATCAAAGATGATGACATGGACGTTAACATGGTTTGATAAAAACTAGTAAATGTGCAAATATACCTATGAACTTTTTTTAAATATGTGCCTACCACTATAAACAAACATTGGATGCAAAAATATCTATGGTCATTTAAAAAAAAAAAACCTAAAATGCTACAGTCATTTAATTCATCAAAGTCAATCTTCTGATTCAAATTTTTGACCAAATAAGATGACACAAATGCTATGTTAGCATTTCATTCTCCCTCCTTCAAGAGCAACTCTCCTTTCCTTTCAAATGATCACATTTCAATCTCCCTCCAATTCTAATGATGTTCTCTCCTCACTATTACATCTTTGTTGAAGAGAAAATAAGTTAAAGCTTTCCACGAAACTTGCTCCTTTATTTCATCTATCTAAGTCTCTTTTTCTAAAAGGAATATTGCTACTCTCTTAGTTACTTCTCTTGTGTCTCCTCTAATTACTCATTGATGGAGACTAGAGTAGAGCTAAAGTACCATTATTCTTAGAACAAGAGAGATTGAGAGAGATGAAATGAGGGAGTGAGTGCCATAGAGAGCTTCAGCTTTCTTCTTCTCTTTGAGAGAGACTGAAATGTGTTTGTTTGCAAGCAGGAGAGAGTTATGGGCAAATTTGAGAGACTAGATTGGAGCCAAAGTACCATTATTCTTAGAACCAGTGGGATTGAGAGAGATGAAACGAGGGAGTGAGTGCCATGGAGAGAGCTTCAACTTTCTTCTTTTTTTTTAAGGGAGACTGAAATGTGTTTGTTTGCAAGGAGGAGAGAGTTACACTTGAAGGAGGGATACTGAAATGCTAGCTTAGCATTATGTCATCTTATTTGGTTAAAAGTTTGAATTAGATAGTAATCTTTTATGAATTAAGCAGCTGTAGCATTTTAGGATTCTTTTGGAATGATCATAGGTATTTTTGACTCTAAGATTTGTTTATGATGTCAAACACATTTAAAAAAGGTTCATAGGTATATTTGCATCTTCACTCTTTTTTATCAGACCATCTAAGCCACATCAGTGTCCACATTATCATCTTTAGTTAAACAAACAATCAATGTTATAATAGTTAATAGTCATGGCATTTTTGCCACATTCTAAATTCTTCATGTATAATTTTGCATCAAAGATTTGTTTATAGTGTTGGACTCATATTTGGTAAAATTTCATAGGTATATTTGTACCTTAACCCAAAAATGAATTAATGGAGTTGACATTTTTGCTCAATTTAAAAAAATTTATGTGTATTTTTACACCTGAGATTTATTTATGGTGCCAGTCGCACTTTTTGTAAATGATAATGCATAGTTTTGTATCCTTACCATATTTTCAAACTTAAAATTCATTAATTTTGTTTGTATTATAAAATTTTTATAGTTTAAATTTTTCATCATAGTTATTGGAATTTATTTATCTTAGTTTATGTTAAAGGGCTAAGAAATCTTTCAAACACATGTTTTCATCGTATAGTATAAAAGATGTAATTTGAAAATTTATATAAATCATTTTAATTTGTTATTTAAAATTCTTAAACAAATTTTTTTGTTACAAGCATTGCAAAGAATTTTTTTGGCTAGATATTTATGTAAGGAATCAATCAAATTTTCAATTAAGTGTTTTTGTATCTACGTTAATTAAATTATTTAAGTTCTTATCCCAACCTTAATTAAATTATTTAAGTTTCTATCCCAATATAATAAAAACATTAAACCATTAATTATTTGCAAAAATAAAAAATATTATTAAGGAAAAAAATTTAAAAATCTTTAAAATAATTTTAACCAAAACTAGTGATTTAGTACAATGAAGGGTAAATTAATAAATAAGAATTATTAATTTTAATATAAACACTACTACAAAATGAAAAATACTCGACGGTTATTTTGGATCATATTTGACGGTTAAAAATCGTCAACTATACTGGCGTCATATATTTCAACAGCAAATATTTGACGGTTATTAACCGTCAAATATTTAAATCATACTTGACGGTTACTAGAGAAAAACCGCCAATTATTTTGAGATTATAATTGACGGTTCCAAAAACCGTCAAGTATTCTGTAATACTTGACGGTTCCATAGAGTGACCGTCAAGTATTATAAACATACTTGACGGTTATTTTTGAAAAACCATCAAGTATTATTTAATACTTGACGGTTTTAAAAGTAACCGTCAAGTATTTTATAATACTTGACGGTTTTAACTAATAACCGTCAAGTATTATTCATTTTTTTTTAAAAATTCGTTCTCCTTTGCCAGCAACCCCCTGCAATTTTGAAACCGATAACAAAGGCTCATTCAACAGAATCATGCAGGCCAGCATTCAAACCAATTCAGCCATATCCATATATGTTAATGAACCGAAAATATTTTACATTATCATATATATATACATGAACCAATGAAAACCAACTGTGATATATTAAAATTCTGGCAAGTACAAAAAGGTGAACCAATTCCAAAATTAGCCAATTGCCAAAGTTGTGTAATGCCTAAAACTAACCAACAGCCAAAAATGAACCAAAACCAAAATTATATTGAAACCAAAGCTAGCTGTACGTACATACACTGTCTTAATGTACACTTCCCTATCTATGTTGTGCCCACTGACGGAATAAGGCCATCGCCAACTCCTCAACGATTTCTTCCATCTGAGCAGATGAATACACTGTGCAATATGTGTCGGCAAAGTACTGTATGCAACCACAAATTATGACTTAAGTTAGATAGAAATGTAAAGCTACAGTAAGTACAATAATTCTTAAATATATAAATTGAACCTTAACAAATGCATATTACCTGCGTGGGAATTGAGTCAGCATTGTGCAGAATTATCTCCTTCATAAATTTCATCACGCAATATCCACAATGGGAGCTCTTGTTGGGCTGACATGGGCACTGTAAAGAATGGAAAAGGAAATAATATTAGTCAATCATATAAATAAACCATATTTAGTAGAATAGTAAATCATGGTAGTGAATACCTTCACTTTCTTCCACGGGAAGGTATCGTCAAATTGGCCGTTTTTTACCGGGGGGCAGGGTAAGGCCTGATTTGTGCGGTATAGCCACAAAGCCCTGAGAAGACAATAAAATTGAATATTAATGATTGTCAAAAATTTGATTGAAGCAAGAAATTAAATTAAATTTAAATAATACAGATAAATATTACTTGTTGAACAATGAAACCATAAATGGTCGATTGGTTGGATCCCCATGAAGAGAATCAAGATACCAAATCCTCGGCTTTGTGGGATTGACCACAATCAGCATCCAGTGTCCCCTAAGTATAAGAAAGACAATTAGAACTATTACAAATTATTTTGAAAATGAAAGAATTTAGGAAAGTTTACCCTTGACAATAAGGCACCAAAAACAAAGTCTGAGCCCCCGGTGTTGCCCTAGAAATGAAGATATCTAACAAGTCTCTGGATAAGTCTTTCTTCATATTAGGTCCGTGGCCAGCAAAAGTGTGGGGGCTGATAATCTTGAACTTGTCATCAAAGCCACCAGGGGCTATGAAGTTCTTGAAAAGATATCTAAATCAACAAACGAAGATATCAGTAGAATAAATGTTCAAGTACTTAAGTATTTAGTTAAGGTTTTAACAAATACCTGATATAAAAGTTACAGGCATTTGTGCTGGCCATTCCATGCGTCAGAATCTCTTTCAATACTTCATTTGTGACATAATCTGACGAGGGTCGACCGTATACCTCTGGCTCAAACTCTAGGGGAATCATGAAATCCTCGCCATGTTCTAATCTGGCCCCAATTGCATATTCCTCAAGACATATTCGAAATCTTGATGATACCACTTGAATGGGCTCAGAGGGCTGCTTCTGTGGTGATGATAATGAGTGATCACCCAATAGGCTCTTCTTCCCCTTAGACTGACAAACAGACTGTTAGTAATTAAAATAGAGTTTATTTTAAATCAGCTGAATTTGTAGACCTATACATATATACCTTTGAAGGATGTCCTAATGTAAGAAGACGGCCAGGCCAAGCGACAAAGCTACCCACTGCTTGAGCCACTGTCTCTGCATCTCGGGTGGGAATCGAGAGAGCATAATTCGCATCAATAGCAGTGTTCAACTGCACCCTCACATGATCAGCAGGGAGAGGAACATTATGAATTATACTCTCCCCTGGTAAATTGAACATGCGGCCCGTTGCAACAGTGTGATGTTTAGGGCTATCCGCCATACACTGAACGTCCGCTTCACCCTGATTTGTTTAACATAAGAGACAAGTTAGCTAGATATATAAATTATTGAATGTAATTATATAAACACAAGTATTATACCTCAGGTAGCAAGGGGAATGTGCAGCTGTCTTTGCCACTTGGGCTGAGATTTGGAGCCGGCTGTGGTGCTTGATTCTTGATCAACTGCTCGATTAGGAGCGCTTGCACTTTAACCTGCTCCTTTAACTAGCGTGTTTCTTCCTTCAGCTCCATGAACTCAGCAGAGGAAGGCGTGCACGATGAAGAGGGCTTTTGTCGGTACCCAAAGTAATCTCTCTTGGTGACTCCATAACCGACACCCCTAAGAAGACCAGGATGGTCAGGAGTCCCCAATGCCCTCCTCAATATATCCTGGTCATCTGCAGAATATGCCCCCTGCGAAACTTCCTAGGACAAACTCTCCTGTGCAACAAACATTGATATAGTTATTCATACTTAAAGATATTTGACAATAACGTGAAGATTATTTAATTTAGAATAATACTCACCATCCTGTCCACGATCTCCTTAACGCGAGGATTATCAATTTGGCCATCTTTATTTTGCCTGGCCAGTGCCCACAGCATCTGACGTGATACAGTGACATCTGATCCCTCCTGCTAAGTCACCTCTTGCTCAAGGCCCGCATAACCCAAGCGGCCCTTTCGGTAGGGATACTTATTCTTCTTTACTCTTTCCTTATTTTGGGAACTTAATTCCTGCAAAAACAAAGTAAATTCACAATTAAACAATATATAGATTAAACAAAATGGACTATTTAATATCAAAAAGAGCGAGGATTATTACTTGAAATTGCCTATCATGACGTGACGTCACAAAAGCAGCCCAATCCTCTGGTTTGACCAAGTCCCGTATCAAGCTAGGAACATGGGACTCGTCGGCTGTGGAAGGATCCTTCAAGTACTTGTGTGTGACAAAATATCGGAAAGAGCGTAGTGCCCTCCCAGCCTTCCCCTCCACAAACTTCTTCCTGCTCTCATCTATATCAAATGCAGACTGCAAAACATATAAAACAACACATTAGTGTCACGCAGCTTGTAAGAAAATGAAATTTGAGTTATAATATATTACCGATACATCTGTCCAAATAGTGTCTCGCACTGAACGATCAACCCTCCTCCAATGCTGCGCTGTAATGGGCACGGTGCTTCGTGCCACTGCCCCAATATAGCTGATAAATTTATTTGACTGTACAGCTTGTCCTTTCTTATTCCACTGTACGGCAAATTTCTTTCCTTCTGTTCGAGCTTTCACGACCTCTTGCATGACACAAAGGCCCCTCTGTATGCGTGCTACCTCCTCTTGTAACTGTCTCTCCTGCTCAGAGGCATCTCTCGGCTGAGATGGGTTATCAGTGCTAGATCCGCTATCGTCTGCCATCTGCAATGAAATTGAAGTAAACAAAATGAATCAGAATCCATTAAATGAAAATAAAGTCATTAATGACGAAATTTATTTGAACAAAATTAAAACAAATAAAAGAATCAAAGAAAATAATGAGAGAATTTACATGCATGTTTAAGAAGATCTTTTTCTTTTTCTACTCTTATGTTTTTGCATGTTCTTCTTGGTTTGAATTGTTTTGATCTTCTTACGAAACACTTTCCCCCTCTTTGAAATCCATATTCCGTCGTTGTGATCATGCCTGACATACATGGATTGATCTTCATTTAAATGAGAATCAAGTGAGGCCCCTTGAAATGGATCATCTTCAATTGCATTGTCTTCATACCCCATCTCTTCAATATCCATTTTATTAGTCAACAAAACAATAGACCATCCTTTGGCAACCGGGTCAGGGACATAAAACACTTGCGTAGCCTGAGAAGCCAAAATGAATGGCTCTTCCTTGTATCCTTCTTTATTCAAATTCAATTGTATAAACCCTAAGTCATCAATCCTCAATGCATTATTATTATCCACCCATTTTCAACCAAATACCGGAACTCTGAATTCAATGTAATCCAACTCCCAAATATCCTCAATCACTCCAAAGTATGACATACGTGCATAGATAGGATTTTTATCTTTGGCACTCGATATATGCATGGTACTAGCTACAAGAGTTACGCCACTATTTTGCTGTTTACTCCGATCATCTTGTTGTTTAGTATAGAAAGTGAACCCATTCTCTAGGTACTTCCCGTATCTTCATATTTTAGACCCTTTCATAATTTATCTTAAGGGCTTATTCCCTTTCTTTTACATTCTGATTTCATACATAGCTTGTCTGAATGCATAACCTTTAGGATTTACGGCTTGTGGTTCCCTTAGTTCTTACTTTCCTCACTTTTCTTTGTTGACTAGAACAGAATTGAGCTCAGTTTAATTAATAATAACAGTATCTATGGAAAAAGTCAAGGGTACTCTCTCTGTACTAGGTAACCAACCTGAGCATGTTTTTCCATCTTAAACTTATCCTTGGTCATCTCATTCTCCCACTTCAAAGAGATACAAAGGACACTACCCTCATGGCTCAATAACCTTCCCTTAGGCTTGGTCTACCACGACATTGGGAGCGACCTCACTCTACCATAAGCCTTTTTAGGATCTACCATGACCCTGGATTCTCTCACATTACACCTGAGCCATGTTCCATTCTTTGGAGCCTTTAGACTAGTAGACTGAGTTAAAGAATAAGTCACCTATCCTCAGCTAGTAACTTGATTGATTATTCCCTAGAACTGATCACAGACACCCACATTGCCTTCTTAGGCCTTACTTAATCCTTTCCGCCAACTCTGGAATTATTCATCCTTCCTGTCTTTCTTTTTTCCTTAACTTTTAGCTACCTCAGGCCATTTCCCTGTCATTTTGCCCCTGTAATTCTCTAGGCTATTTGTTCATCTCTATGGCCTTCTGGGCTTATCATTATGTCCATGACAGTCTGTCACGCCTTAAGATTCCCTTTCTCATCTTACAGGGAAAGGTCTTGTAAAATCATTTTCATCATATCCTCAGATATTCTATCCTTTCATCACTCTTGGCCAACTTTACTCTTATTAGGGTAAGGTCAACTCCATGAGCCTTACGTTGGCCCTTATTACTCTTTCCTGTGGGAGGACTTATTGCTCACATCAGAGCACATCACCTCAACCACTTTCCCGGCCTTGATGGAGGACATAACACTTTAACAGGTATGACGTCAACTCTACCACTCTGGGAGGACGCACTGTTACCTTCATAATGTTGTCAACCCTATCATAACAGTTCCCTTTCTTTCTCTTCAGAGGACAGCTTGCTCTTGGCAGAGAAGCATCAACTCTGCATCGGAAAACTAGCTCCCAATTTGAGAGACATTCCATGGCCAAGACCTGCTAGTTATTTAATCTCTGTCCTGGCACATTCTTACATGCCAAATCCCTAATAAGGGAGCCTCTCAACCTGACCTGCTCGATCATCCTGGCAATGGCATTTATCTGTAGAGATCTCATCTCTCATATTTCCTACTGGCCTGAGTGCTATGGTCGCACTTCTCATAGATGCCTCAGGGACACAAAGGAATAATATTTAGTCCCCAACGTTATCAAGTATCTAAGCATCTTTGGGAACTTACTCATCTCTCTTTATAAATCAGTTCCCAGTGCAGCCATCAACTTTCACATTCTCATCTATTTCCTTTCAAATCTATCCTCAAGAGGGATCGTGCCTGACTTTAATCTTTCTAACTTTCTTTACCTCTTGACTAATTATTCTTATAGTTAGATATTAATCACCATACCCTCATCACATCACACAGCGAACAGTTAATCATCTTATTGGATGGTATCTAGGTCGGGCACCAAGGTCATCATTGACTCTTCATTCATTATCATCTAACCTCTGTCCCTCTTGGTTTACTATCCCTTAGAGATTTTTACCTCTATTCAGGGATTTGAACAAACCTCAAGCAGCTTGTCCTGTTACCTTGCCTCTATTGGGGTTACATCGATTACTTAGGGTTTAGGTTGCCACTTGGTTCCCTTACTGGGGCACTGACTCATACCCCTAACTGGTCTATTGCACTCTTAGCCACTATCCTCTGGGGGAGTCTTTTGACTTTGACTCATACCCCAGTCAAGCTTTCTCAGCTTAACCATTCCTTTCTTGAGGAGGAGTCTCTTAACAGTGACCACCTATCTCTTAGGTTACTTTTTGTCATTCCTTACACCTCTTCTATATCCATTTCCCTTAGAGAAGTCACATCAGTTTCATAACCTTAGTTAGACCAATCCTGGTAACCCATCACTTTCCTAGATAAGGATTTCACTCATACTGGGCTTTCCTTGAACCAATACTCTACTTACACCTTTATCAAAACCTTTACCAGAGCTTCCGTTCTGTTTAAATAATTGCCAGTACCTTTGCTCTGATACCAAAAAGAAACATCCTACCTTTAACCACCTCAGAGTACGCATTCGTAAGCGTTATAGTTCAAGCAGGTCAAAGTACAAGCCTGTGGATTAAAAACTTCAACATAACTACTCGGATTACTTTTCACTGTTTAAATTCAGATTTTAGGTCCAATTTTGAAAAATCATAACTAATTCAATAAAAATCATATCTCCTTGTATACACATCTAATTGAGGTGATCTACCTCTCATTTTAAAGCTTGGGATGTGTACTATGAATCTACCTAATTTTGTGGCTTAACTCATTTATTTGATAGGTCAAACTAGAGCTACAAACTCACTGCTTCATGACCTACGTTTTATCTCTTAACCTCTTTTTACTTTAATTCTTTTTATTTCTTTGGCATACATAAATTGGGTTTATGGTTTCCCAATCATCCTCATACATTTCTATTCATCCCAT